GGGGGGGGGCAGTGGGCTGGGTGAGCCCCAGCTTACCACGTCGGTTGAAAGCCACTGCTCAATGTCCTCCATGAGGCACGCCTGTGGGACAGGGACCTGGAAGGCAGGAGGGTGGGACAGTCACTCTTGCCTCCCCTCCACTAGACAGCCCCCCCTCCCCGCCCCATGCACTGCCAGTGAGGGAAGGCACGGGCCAGCAGACTCAGTGGGGCAAGTGGGGGTGGGGTGGGGTGGGGGACTCTTCCTAGTTGGAGAGGGGTCTCAAGTCAAGGCTCAGGGTAGAGACTGGATTGGATCAACAATGATGGCCCAGTCCTGGCGTCCAACGGCCACTCTACCTCAGGGGCTCTTATAAAGGAATCCGGAGACTCGGGGTGGGGTCAGGCTGGTGGACTCAGGCCACTCTATGGAGGGGACAGGTCACTTGGGCCACAAAGGCACAGGCACTGAGGTGAAGGCCTTGTGTGGGACTGCCCTTGGGAAAGCCAGCTGTGGGTGTAGATGTTGTACCAGGATTTGAGTCTGCCCTTTGGGGTCTCACTGAACGTCTGTGCACCCCGTTTCCCTCAGCTGTCAGACAAAGGGTAGAACTCTAGCGGTCTTGTATGCTGAGGGTCAGACGAGCAGGTCACCAAAGGCCACTTAGCTCATTCTTAGCTACACTGGGACAGGAGGACCTTTCCTCACCCAAGCCAGAAACCCCAAGTTCCAAGAGCTAGCATGAAGACCCAGAGGTGGTGGTGGTGGGGGCACGCAGAGCCCAGAAAGCCCGCCTCCCAAGGGGTAGCAGCAGCTGGCAGGTGAGCCCCAGGGTCTGGGCTGTCAGAGGGGCTACGCGGGAGTCAGGAGCACTCAGCAGGCCCTGGGGCTGAGGAAGAGTGTGGAGGGCACAGGCTGAGCCAAGGTGCCCCGCTGGGGCCTCGTCCGTGCTACACTCAGGGCCCCCGCCCCCAGGCCTTCTGTAGCCCCCTCCCTCAGCAGCAGCGCCTGGGCCCCCCTCCCCCTGCTGCTCTCCTCACCAGGCCTCGTCTCACCATCCAGTCCCTGAGGCTCTGCTCGCCGCAGCCTTCCATCTGGATGGGAGAGGGGCATGCTGCAAGGGACTGTCTGGGGGTAGTTCTTATGAGTCAGGAGACCCCTGTGTGGGGTCTGGTGTATGTAGTGTGATGTGTGGGGTGTATGGTTCAGTGCAGTATGTAGTGTGCACAGTGTGCAGTTGATGTGGTGTGGCATGATACAGGGTAATGTGTAGTGTGTATAGTGTAGTGTGTAGTGTGAAGGTGTGTGGGCTGGGTATAGTGTGAATGTGTGGTGAAATTTTTGTATGGTGTGTGGTGTGGGTAGGGTGTGAATGTGTGATGTGCTGTGTATGATATGTGGGGTGGGTATGGTGTGAACGTGTGGTGTGCTATGTATGATATGTGGTGTTTGTATGGTGTGGCATGGTGTGAATGTGGGGTGCTGTGTATGATGTGTGGTGTTTGTATGATGTGGCATGGTGTGAATGTGGGGTGCTGTGTATGATATGTGGTGTTTGTATGGTGTGGCATGGTGTTAACGTGGGGTGCAGTGTATGGTGTGTGGTGTTTGCATGGTGGGGCATGGTGTGAATGTGGGGTGCTGTGTATGATATGTGGTGTTTGTATGGTGTGGCATGGTGTGAACGTGGGGTGCAGTGTATGGTGTGTGGTGTTTGCATGGTGGGGCATGGTGTGAATGTGGAGTGCTGTGTATGATGTGTGGGGTGGATTTGGTGACAGGTGACACACAGTGGAAGTAAAGGAAGGAACAGAGAGCGTCTTGCTGTGGGGAAACCACAACTGCTCAGGGACTCCAGCGCCCCATCTGAGCTGGGCAAAGCTGCTCAGTTCTCTCCAGACAGATGCGAAGGGGGTTCGGGGTTTGGATGTGCAGCTCAGGTGTTAGAAACACGGGATCTCCTAACCCTTCATAGTTAGCGACGGGCAAGCTGGAGACTGAGGGAAGAGCCACCACAGGATGTGTGTGTGTGCGTGTATCTGTGTCTTCCTGGGGACAGGGCACCAGGCCAGGAGAGAAGACACCGGGATTCTGCTTCTCCTCCTGCCTGAGTAGGTGACACACTTCTCTCTGGCCCTGGCCTCTGTCCACAAAAGGTGACCCGAGAGGAGCGCTTTGAGCAGGCTCCTGGAATGTCTGGGTTCATCAGGGTTCCAGGAGCTACAAGGATGGCCTGCACGCACACACTCTGTGCTCTAAGAAGCCCATGGTGCTATGTCTCCCCTCAGCCTTGGGAGGCCCTGAAGCAGAGCTGGAATGCAGCCGGGGGTTGCCAGGACTCTATGCCCGTGGTGGACTGGGTAGCTCCCAAAGTCGCCTACCTCATTTCCTAGCTTCCATCCTGGATCCTTTCCAAACAGACACCAAATACATGCCCCCTGGCTCCAGAGGTTCTAGTGGCTTCCCCAGTCTTCCTGCCTTTCCTCAGCCCTCCCGATCTCCTCAGGGAAGCCCATGTCCCATCACCAACCTCTTCCCTGCCCACCCTTCCTTGTCCTTCTCCCCGCCCCTGCTGGCTCTAACTACCTCCCCACCAGAGCTGGCTAAAGAAACCCTTCCTGGCCCAGCTGCATCCAGGAAGACACACACAGGGGAAGCTGTGCTTGCAGCTCTTGTCCAGGGGGAGGGGCCAGCACTGACACCACTCACAGAGCTAAGGATTTCAACGGTACCCCATGCTGTTTTAGGGTGTTCTTACAAGGGTGTGGTGCTGTGGGCTAGGTGACGGGCTGCTACGGGCAAGGAGCCTGGTTCCCCTCAGGAGGTGGAATTGACTTGATGGCAGAGAGTTAGGTTTTGGGATGGAGAGAGGCAGGGAGTGGACTCTACGTCAGCACAAGACACTGCACAGGCCCGCTCCACCACTGCTCCTAGAAACTACTGCAGACTCATCTAAACCCAGGGTCAGTTAGGGGCATGGTTTGCCTACAGGTACTCAGCTGGTAAGTGGGGGTGCTGGGAAGGGACCCCAGGGCTGCCTGAACCTAACTGGCCTCAGCTGTAACACAGGAACAGCCACAATAGCCTCAGGGAGCGTGGGTGCTGAGCAAGTGCGCCCACACAGGAAGCATCCCTTGCCTCCCTCCGCTTACCGCTCCGGTGCTTTGCTGTCGGGCATCCAGGGCTCCAGCCAGGCCGTCTGCTGCTTGGGGGGCCTCGTATTTGACCCTGAAACACAGAGGCAACCATAGTCATTAAACACACCCCTCCCGCTGGACTCAGCCTGGTCACACGGCATGACCAAGGCCTCCAGCTCTCCAGCCCAGCCGGGCAATGGAAGACGGGATCTTACGAGAAGGCTGGAACACCAGTGGCCACGGCAGTGACCAAGTGCCAGGGACTGAGACACAGCCCCAGCAGTGATGCTAGGGAGCTTCACCTACAGACCTTTTGAGCGGTGCCTGTTCTGTGGTTTTATAAACTGTGGTTCTGTATAAGGCTGCATTTGAGTGGAGAATTTCATTCTGTTGCAGAAATCAATTTTGCAAACTGCTGGTGAGGGTCTTGCACTGAAGTTGGCTTGAGTCTGCCCCTCCCCTCCCTGCCTCGGCAGCATGCTCTGCTTCTCAGGTGTCCACTAGGGGGCGCTGGCCAGCCTGCATGGTCGGGAGGTGCAGGGAGGCTGTGCCAGGCTGAAGGGCAGGTGGGAGAGCAGAGGCAGAGGAGGGATGGAAAGGAGGGAATGTTTGGTGCCTGAGGCCAAGCCTCAGGAGAGCAACCGAATAAGCCATTAATGGTGGGAAAACAGCGCTAACAGGAGGGGGTGGGGCAGCTCTCCTGGCTGCTACTGGGGGTGCCCAGGGAAGGTGCCCAGGTAACCCCTTCGCAAGATCTGTGCTCTCAGGGCCATGATGTGGGAGAAGGAGAGGAAGCGCCTGAAGAACACACCCTGACTGCAGCCACGCTCCCCAGGACTCCAGCAGGGTCAGAGCTGGAGCTGGTGGAAGACAAGGCGCTGGCTTCTAGGTAACCAGGGAACAGGAGGCTGAAGGCGGGAGGGAGGGTCAGACAAAGGCAGGCAGAAAAGGCCTTGGGGGATTCAAGAGTCCCAGGGGACAAGGCAGGGAGGGGGAGTCAGCAGACCAGTCAGGTCACCAGTGCTAAAGAGACCACCAGGAGGGTGAAGGTGGACCAGCTAGGCAGGGAAACAAAGGGAAGGGAAAGGTGATTCCTGAGCTTCCCTGCTGCAAGTTCTTTGCTGGGGTGGAAAGCCACCCCCAGGGGAGCCTGCTCCAATCCTCCCCACTGTGTCTGGGTGGCCCTTGCCACCCTCTCCAGCATCCCTCCACCTTCCCTACAGAACACACCTGCCCACTTCAGAGCTTATGATCTGATTGCCTCTGCATAGGAGCCCTGCAAGGGCCGTTCCTCCTACTGCCTGCTCCAGCCTGCCTGACAGCCGCCCTTTGCTGGCCAGCCTTCCTGACAGATGCCCTTTGCTGGCCAGCCTTCCTGACAGCCGCCCTTTGCTGGCCATGCCTCGCACATCTCCTAGGCCAGCTCTCAGCACTGCAGGCAACCGTCTGCTCACACATCACTCTCCCACAAGGCTGCAGGACCTGGGAAGCAAGTCTCAGCCTGGGGTTGCTCTGTGTTCCCAGGGCCCAGGGGCTCTCCAGTGTGGCCAGCACAGCTGCCCGCTGGGGCCCAGCAGGCAGACCACCCTCCTGGCTGCAAGCCCCACCAGACTCATCAGCTCCTCTCTGCCCAACAGCCACAGACATCCCTATTCCAGAGCAATTGGGAGCCACTGCTCCCGGGACACCTAGTCTCGGGGTACAGAATGTGCCCTGGATGAGAGGCTCGGCACAAAGCTCAGGGCTGGCTATGGCAGCTGGCTTTGCCTATGTAGGTGGGGTGTGCTGGGGGGCTGAAAACAAACACACAAAACAAGAGGCAAGCATCTTCCCTGTTAAGCCTGTGTGTGCAGCCAGTCCCTGAAAACTCCACAGGCCTGGGTGACACACTCAGAGCACCTCCTGGAAATGGGAGATGGGCCATGAATGGGCAGAACCCCGGCTCCGCACACGGGCGAGGTGGAACCAACAGAACGGCATGGCAAGTCCTATGGCTCCGTCAGAACCACCCCACCTGCCCCGGATGACCTGGTACCGGGAGGACGTAGACATGGGGAGCTGGCCGGGAATGGAGAGACTGGTGGGACCTGACAACCCTGGGTTCTAACCTAGTGCTGCCCAACATCGGCCCGCATGCTGGACCACGGGAGGTCACATGACACAAGCAGGTGGCACACAGTTGGTCATCAGCCTGCGTGTCCCCTCTCCACCCATCACTACCAAGGCAAACAGCACTGGGGGAGCTTGGGGTGGCTCTTGGGCCACGCTGGACCGACTTAGGGGGCAGGAAGTGTTCACCTCGGAGGACATGGGTGGCCTCCCCAACCCCCTAGTCAGGGTGGGGACCCTGAAGCCAGATAGCAGGCAGGGCCCAGGGGGACTCACTCTTTCCGTTGGTCAGACAGTGAGCTGCCCCGAGTCATTGCAAACATGTCAAACTCGTCTTCTAGTCGGCCGGAGGCATTCAGAGACTGCAGGCCAGCCTTCACGCTGCTGGAGCCCAAGTCTGTGTGGACAGAGAGGCCCAGGTAGAGGACCCACCTGGCTGTCCTGGTAGACTGAGCTGCTCCTAAACCCAAGGCTTGGTACTGGACAGGTGGGGCCAGAGTGGGAGCAAGGACGTCTGACTCGGGGCACTCCCACATGTCCATGGGGTTTCCAACAGCTGATCTTTAGGAAGCAGACTGCCAAGTCTTCCTTCTGAGGTGCCTCTGGGTGGACTAGAGCCCCAACTTCTCAGTCAGCAGCCGAGTGTTAACACTTCATTCCACCCAGGGACTCACGGGAGGGCGGTAGTGATTAGAAGAAACCTAGCGTCAGAGATTCCAGACGGGACCCTAATTCTTTCCTCGAGGTCAGCACGCAGCAGGTAGTGATGCTGACCACGGTTAACGTTTATTAGGCCTGCACTCTGGGCCTGGCCCCATACAATCACATCATGTGTTCAGTTACCTAATCCTCTAACAATCTATGAGGAAGGTCACGTGGACGTCACCGGTCCAATGCCACCAAGACAGCTAACCTGTGGCGTATTTGCAAGCACAGAATGGTGGGATTTCTGGAGACAGAACACCCACGTTTGATCCCGGGTGCCCAGCTTTGTTACAAGATTCAGCTTGGGACCCTCACAAAGTAGGATCTGGGGCCCCAAAGTGCAGGGTGCTCACACACTTTCAGGCAGCCAACTTACTCATTCCTGCCAGCTGGGACGAGAGGTGGCTGGGAGCCGCAGGGCCAGGGCCCATGTCCATCAGGTCAGGTGCAGGTTCCGTTTCACTTGGGGTCTGCAGGGAATGAGAAGCCGTGAGGATGACCCTTTCTGCCTGTAGCCTCACTTCCTGTCTCGAAGCCCCGAGCCCAGAAGCTCTGCCCACAGATTGTCACTGGAGCCCCACTGCTATGGACTTTTCTTTCTCCCCTGGGAAGCTGGAAAGACCCCTGGGCATCAGCTGGGGACACAGCCTTGTCTACTTTAATGGACAGTGAGCCTGGGTAAGGAAGCACCAGCCAGCCGACCAGGTTCTCTGGGAAGGGACCCCCAGCCCTTCACCCCCTTCCCATGAACAGAGCATGAGCTAATTACAGAAAAGATGGAGTCTCTACCTTGGCGGTCTGGCCTGTTCGGAACCGCTCAAACCTACAAGACAGGAAAGACGCAAGTCAAGGAGACATACCGAGAGGACCAAGACTCAAGCGGGGTTTCCAAACTGTGGGTCTCAAATCAAAGACAGGGTCACCGCAGGGTGATACTGTATCCTCGTTTGCTCTGGACAGACTCTCTGTGGTCATCCCCACCAGGCAAAACTAGAACAGAGCAGAGAGCAGCGTACACGGCCCAGTGTAAAGGTCACTGCTGCTCTGTGAGACCAGCTTCAGTGAAGCTGTTGCTAAGTGCTGTGGGGTCGGTTCTGACTCATAGTGACCCTGTATAGGGTTTCCGAGGAGTACCTGGTGGTTACAGCCCAGTGCTGATCGTATAGTGCCACACCAGGGTTCAGTCATAGGTAGGTATTTGTGATCCCTGATGGGACACAGGACAGACACACACACTTTATGTAATTGCTTTATAAAGCCATTTAAAGGACCCTCAGACAGGCCAGGGGGCAGGTGAGCTGGGATGGGATCTGTCCGAGGCTGTGTGGCCCTGGGTAGATGACATCAGTTCTGTACTTTAGTCTCCTTGTCTATTAGAAACGGGGTAAGAGAACCCCTCCAGATGGTTCTGAAGATCAGCTGAAAACACTGGGTGTGAGTCACAGTGAAAGAGTGAGTTTTGGGGGGTACCTCCACCCTCCAGCCCATGTGCCTACTTTCATTCCCAGAGGAGCTGGAGGGTGGCACACAGGGCCAGGGACAGGAGCCAAGCAGATGTGACTTGCACTGACCCCACCCCACTCTGTACTGAACTGGAATCCCTCTGTGAGCATCTGCTGATGGAGAAAGATGCAGGGCTGAGCGAGTGACTGGCGGGCTGGAATAAGTGGCAGCATTTACCGAGCCATCATCTCATGGACTCTCATGGCTGCTCTACAAGGCTCTTGTTTCACACACACGGACAAGCTGTTCCTTTGAGCAATATCTCTCCCCTCACTGTACCGGGTCCTGGTTGAACTGGCATCAAGAGGCCATCCCCTCCTCTAAGTCAGAGTCTGTCTCAGGGGCAGCAAGCTACAAGGATGGGCAGATGTTGGAGCTGGTCTACTTGCTGATGGTGGTACCCTTCGATCCCTGAGACGTTGGAGCTGTCTTGGGATATCTCCTTCCTGCCCCGTTGGGAGGCTTCACGGTCTCACTCTTCCTTGGGTTCTGAAAGCTACCCATTGGATAAAGACTGTTCTAGTAACTTCTGTTTGAGCTTTGTTCACCAGAAGTGCTGTAACCTGAGTCAGATCCCAGAGCCAGCAAGTGGAGGAGCAAGCGAGGACCGAGCAGGTGTGTATGGCACCAGCCCCACGCTCTTAGCCACTGTTTCCCCATCTCTCGGGGTGGACTCGGGGACACAGGTGGCAGGAATAACTTGGGAAAGCAGGTAAGGGGGAGTGAGTGGATGGGGAATTCATGCACATGCTCAAAGACAGCCCTGTGGCTGCCCCGTGTTTGAGAAGACGGCAGGAGAAGGTTCGGGCGCTGAGAAGAGACCAGGAGAACGGGGAAGATGGAAGAAGGCTGGGCAGGGTACCGTTCATGGCGCAGGAACACGTTGTTGAGATTGTCATTGACGATGAGCAGCTCCTCCGTCAGCTGCTCATTGGCGATTCGGGGGATGAGCTCCAGGACACGCTGCTGCATGGCTCTGCACGTTCGGTTGAGCTCCTACCAAGTAAGAAAAAACACAGCCAATCAGCTTGAGTAGGGCCGCCTCCAGTGGGCGGGGCCACATCCAATGGGCAGGACCACCTCCAGTGGGCAGGGCACTGGCCCTGCGGAGGCTTCCTAACTAGGCTTTGAGGATCACGTCGTGTATTCTATATTACAAATACAAAGGACTTTCGTTTCTGCTGCCATCTTTGCTTACTTGAAAAAATTGAGACTGGAAGGTGCCAGGTGAACAAACGGCAACTTCTCTGGGTGTGTGGAGATTTTTGTAGCCAGACCACTAGAAAATGAACTTGATTTTGAATTTCTGCCTCATTCGTTTTACGGATGGACTCTTTTTTAGTAATATACTTAAATTTTGGAAAAGTTTTTGATTTACAGCTCCCCCTTGGGTTGACATGTATCCAAGTTAAGAAAGGAACACTGGAACAATATTATTAGCTACATTTGTTAAGTGCTACGGAGTCAGTTCTGACTCACAGCGATCCTGTATAGGGTTTCCGAGGAGCAGCCGGTGGGTTTGAACTGCTGGCCTTGTGGTTTGCAGTCTAGTGCGACCCCACAGCGTCACACCAGGAGTCCTGGTAATTAACTGGAAGACTTTATTCTGGTGTTACCAGGTTTTCACACAATGCACTTTTCTGTTTCAGGATCCAATCCAGGACTCTGTAGTTAACAGACAGGTAAACGTAGTTTTGAAACATTTGACATTTCAACAACTCAGGCCGATGCTGAATCATTAAGTATCACCTATTTAAACTTCTTTGTGGAGAATGAAACCCACTCTGTACGGGTCTGGAAGGCATCCTGGTAATGCAACAGTTAAGCTCTGAGCTGCTAACCCACGCCACGTGTCCATGTGAGAAAAGACCTGGCCATCCACTCCCAGATTACAGCAGTGGAGCCCCCCTGTGAGGCAGCAGCTCTATCTACCCTGACCTAGAGGGTTGCTGTGAGTCGGCGTGTACCTGACAGCAGTGGAGTTGGTTCTGGTTTCAGAGCCTGCCACCCCCGTGACGTGTTCAGTGCCTGAGAGCTGTCACCGTTGTCAATCTTGCATGCCAAAAGCACGTACACCCACAAGGCCTCAGCTTGTGGTAGGCAAAACTGACTGCATCAGTGCAATCCCGCTGCCCTGAACTCACTCATCTGTTCTCTTAAACTCTCAGCGACTCTTCCTACTCATTTGTTCATTCCTTCATTCAACCCTAAGACTTCGACTTCCATCCCATGAGGTGAGGACTCTGAGCAGGCTCACTGCACCAGCTCAGCTAGGCGCAGGGACACAGGTAAGTCAGACACGAGCCCTGCCCTGCGGGAGCGTGAGGTCCAGAGGGAGACCGACATGGCCCCAAACAATCACACAGTGCTCTGTCCTGGATTCTGAAAACTGCTTGTCCACCTGGGTCTCATTGCCTGTTTCATGTCCAGGGGCGGAGTCTAGTCAGGAAGATAAGCATGGGCATACTTGTGCTTACTTATTGATCTATAGTGCACAGTTTCCCCT